CAATGATCAATGTAAGAAATGTAAACTCTAGTCACATGCACATCTCTGGCAGCAAATTATAAATAGTCAAAAAAAGTAACCAACAAGAGTAAGGGGTTGAAGAATGAAGCCATGGGTTGAAACCATCAATAGCAAGACCTAATAGAACATTACGACATTCTCTTTTAAAAAAAGGATGCATTCTATCAAAATGTCTCCATGCTTTTGATTATGTTAGATGAATGACCTCATCTGTATCACCACAACATTTCAAATGCCACGTCATGTGCTCAGTTGTTTTTTGAGACATGTATAGCCTCTAAAGGCGAGGTATTATTGGTAAGTACTAAAAAAAATTCCTCGAAATGTCCTTTTGTCTTTTCCTCCCTAAATTTCTCTGTTTATACCTCACTTCCCCACAAATTGGACTTGTAGTCAATGTCTTCATATACTCCTCATAGTATAAAAAGCAGTTATTAACACAAGCATCAATTTTTAGATAACCTAACCCAAGCCTTTCCATAATTTTTTTTACTTCATAAAAGTTTGTAGGAACTTTTTCCTGATCTTCAACACTTAATAGCCTCCTACATTCTTTGATGATGGCATTAAAAGCACCAGTGGTTATATTATTTGCAGTCTTTGTGTGCAACATATAAAAGAGGCAACTGAGCACTGTCTCATTTCTATTAGAATTACCAAGTGGAATTGTAGATGTATGAAGCAAGTCATAAAATGCCTTTACTTGATTGTTCATTTCCTCTTCCAGATGTTGATTGGGGAAATTACCTTCCATTTCTCAATATTCATCAACCTCTGGACAAAATGCATCATACACCATTTTATGAAAGTCATTCCTTTCATCATGGTGTGTATCTTGGCCATGTGATGATTCTCCCAAATTAGCAATGAACCATGGATCTATTGAATTCACAAATGTCTCACCATACGCCTACCAAACAAAATAAGCATTCATAAAACCATTCCTAGTAAGTTGATCACATACCATTCCTTGAGTCATAAACGGTAAATTAAAGCATTTAATACAAGGTTATCTGATTAAATCATTTGATCCAAGACCAAGAGTACTGTATGCAAATTGAAGGAAATATTCAACTCCATTATAGAACTCATCATATATTTCTCCTCATGGAGTTTGACGTCTATACATCTAACTACAATCCTCCATAATCTTATTAAATCAATAAAATAAAAAATAATATCATGATTAGTTTCAAAATAATTATAATATCTTTATATATTTTATAGTTGGTTAAAACCCTAAATTTGTCACTCTACTTTGACAAAAAGCCCATTTTTAATCTCTCTATTTAAAAAAACCCCTTTGTGGTCTTTAAAGTTTGAAATTTGACCCCTTTTTAATGCCCTCCGTTAAGTTTTGACGTTAGATGATGAAAATTTCAAAGTAGAAGGACCAAAAAAGACATTTTTTTCAAAGTAGAGGGACCAAATTGGAGCTATTTTTAACCCCATTTTGGTCCTTCTATTTTGAAATTTTCATCATCTAATGTGCATCTCATGTGTGCAAAACTTAATAGAGGGACTAAAAAGATATCAAATTTCAAATTTTAAATACCAAAAGGAGTTTTTTTAAGTAGATGGACTAAAAACAGGTTTTTTTTTTACTAAAGTAGAGTGACCAAAATGGTGATTTAACCCTTATAGTTCACTAACTAAGCTAACATATATATAAACATGTTAAATTTATTCATCAACAGAATTTATCATACACAATTATTGAATTTTTATTTAACAAAAAAAAATGTTTAACCATACAATTATAAAAATATAGTGAAAAATGAAACTTACTGTGTAATGAGGATCCGCAAGAGCTAAAATATTAACCTACAAAATAATTATTAAAATATTAATTTATATATTTTCACTAAAAACTTTATTTATATATACTATTAAATTATAAAAATTATATTTAAAATTAACATAGTGCAACTTAAAACAGATATAACAACAAAATAAAAACCAATTATTATATTACTAGAATTTCACCCTTGATCACAAGAATTTCACCAGAAAATTACAAAAAAATTCTTGACAAATTATAATAGTATAGTGAAAATAAAACTTACTATGTCATGAAGATCAATGAGGATCCGAAAGTTAAAATATTAACTTACAAAATAATTATTAAATTATAGAAATTGTATTTAAATTTAATATAATACAATTTAAAATAGACTCAACAACAAAATAATGGCAATTATTATATTGTTGGAATTTCATCATTAATCACAAGAATTTCATTGAAAATTTGCTAAAAAATTAAAATACCAAATTTAGTCCCTAATATTTTAGATTTATACCAAAATTATCTTTAAACTTTAAAAAATACCAAAATTATCCCTAAACTTTAATTTTTAATACCAAAATAGTCCTTATGTTAACGAAAAGTGTCACTTGATTTATTATTTTGCCACAAAATTGGTTTTTTTTTTTAAATATTAATGACATATAAAATCAAACAACTATATTTTACTATGATGATATGTTTCTAATTGTATATCAGATTGATATGTAATTAAATTTAAATGATTAAATTGATACTTATAATCAAAGTTTTAAGGTCTAAGTTAGTACTTGTCTTCAAAATTTAAGGACTAAATTGGTACTGATTTAAAGTTTAGGATTATTTTGGTTGCAAAAATTAAAGTTTAGGGACAATTTTGGTGCTTTTTAAAGTTTGAGGATAATTTTGACTAAATCTGAAAGTTGAGGGACTAACTTGATACTTTAACAAAAAAATTTTGGTCTCTCAACTTTAAAGTTTTGTATAATTTTCATCCCTCAACTATGAAAAATATATCTTTTTAGTCTTTCCAATAGTTAATCCATTAAATATGTCTAAATATACACATTTTTTATCTCTCAACTCTATGTTAAAGGACTAAAAATGTACATATTAAGATAAAGTTAATGGATTAATTGATGAGAAAACTAAAAAAATGCATTTTTTATAGTTAAGAGATAAAAAAAAATGCACAAGACATTAAGACATGAAAATTGTGTAAAACCTTCAAGCAACCAAAATTAGTATTTAATCTAAAATTTACTCAAAACAACAAATTTGGCAATGTTAATATTAAATACTTATTATTGAAATTTCACCATTAATTACCTAAATTGCACTAGAAAATTATCAAAAAATTATTGATAACTATCTATAAAATTTAGCTAAAATAGCAAATCTAACAATATTAATATCCAATCAACTTATGACAATATTTGATAGTTTAAATTTCAAAAAATATATATAAATAAAATATTTAAATTTAATGTAAAAATATAAAAAAAAATAGAAATATTACATAAATTTCACTTACCACTACTTGATCCACCCACTGTAAGAAGAAAAATGTTAAAGTGATTCGAAGGAAAGAATGGAGGAAAAGAAAGTAAGAAACTACTTGCTGTTGGAAGAGGAAGATGAAAATGAAAGGGGAAGGGCAGTTCGATAGGTAAGAAGTGAGTCTTACCGATTAGATTCACGTTGCAAACTTGTAAAGCTAATCATCTTTGCATTGCTTGAGGTTGCTGGTTGACCAGGGTCATCACCGAGAAAATTATGGTTGCCAATAAAAATTTACCAACATGAATCTTGTCAGTATATGGAAAAAAGCTACAAACCCTAGCACTAGCGGTTGGATTCACAAGATGGGTTGTAGGATTCTCAAATTACCGACATGTTCTTCGTCAGTAACTTTATCAAGAAAAATATTATTGCAGAAGTTTTCTAGTAGTGTTTTAGTTTTTTAGTTTTTATTATCTCAAAAATATAAAAATATTAGGAGAAAATGTTTATCAACTGTACTTGTAAAAAATTTAGAGGCTAGTTATCCCAAAACTATGCCATTTTATGACCTCCATTCAAATTTTAGATAAAAATTTAACATATTATATAATAAATGAGAATTGTAAATTTTTTTAATTAAATAAAAAAACTCAACAAAAACTACATATTAGAAAAATAAAATTTTGGTTAAATCCCCAATTTGGTCCCTCAACTATTGTACAGACTCTTATTTTGATCCTTGAACTAAAAAAATCCTTGATTTAGTTCCTACTGTTTACTAATTTGGCTCCAAGTTGGTCTTTTCGTACAAAAGCAGATGGCATGTCTCATTATTAATATGACACATAGGAGTTAAGTAACGGACATGTCAGCTATTTTTTAATAGAAAGACCAACTTAGGGCGAAATTGGTAAACAGTAAGAACCAAATTAGGGGTTCGTACAATAATTGAGGGACCAACTTGGGGATTTTTTTGGTTTAGGGATCAAATCAAGAGTTGTACAATAGTTGAGAGATCAAATTGAGGGTTTAACCTAAAATTTTTAATTTTTATTTATATAAATTATTAAATTTTCATCTTAACATCATGTCTAAAAAGTCAAAATGTCAAACTAAAACTGCTAAATTTGAATTGAGGGAGAATTAATTTCTCATTAGTGAAACAACTAAATTCAATAAATAGTCTATTAATTATATGGTCTATTTCAATTTAATTTAGAAATAATTTTTTCTTTCAAAATAATTTATAAACTATCGATTTTGTATCAAAATGGTTTACTTGACAAACATCTGTTAACTAGACTAACAAAGTTCTTTCTAGTGGTGCCACCTAATCTGCCACTTGGATTCAACGTGGCCCAAAACACAGACGAAGCGAATGTAGAAAAGTTGCCACTCTAAACTTTTAGAAACTAATAAATATGTAGTGATGGCAATACGAGGTCACACACCTCGGATGGGCTAAGCTATTCCCAACACCCTCTAGTTGCTTTGGCGTTACTTGAAGCTTGATGAGCTCAATTGAGTTCAAGCTCATCCTGTCTACTCTTACTCTACAGTAACTACGTACATGCACAGATCTCTCAGGAGAGTTTCCTACAATCATTGACACATATGATCATGATTGTCTGTGAAGAACAACACGTGGACACCCTATTGAAGGCTATAAATACCCCTTAAGGGTCCTTCCTAAAAGGTAATTGAAACTAACCTCAAGTTTAGCTCTTGCTTCTATCTTAACTGGTCTGATTATTGCTCATTTAGCCATCGGAGTGTCTACCCCGAGGAGCAACCTCGGGGCTTTACAGGTCAATTGAAATGAAGATCCAAACTAAAGAGGATCTTAGAGTTCTCCGCAATAACATTTGGTGCCGTTTACAGGAAACCGAGCTAAAAGCCTGGCTAGTAATTGTTATAAGATGGTTCACACCCGTTCGCTCCAGCACGAAAGTCCCTTATAGGGAAGGGGGAGAGGTCAGCCCCCTAATGCTAACGTTGTGCCCTAGAGTCTGCTAAATGTCTAGGCTCAACATCATCATGTGGAAGGAATGAGGGAGAATAACCCACAACACTCAACTACAATCCTAAATGATGTCATAGCTGCCCAACTCAATACCATGCAGCAATTCGATGTCTTCCAGTTTGTGCTTGCACAACTCCTGGCTAAGGATAACCCTAGTGACCCCTTTATTAACCTGTTAAATCCAACCAACCAACCAGCCAATCACCTACCCCAATAGAAGGCTAACTCTCAGGACCAAAATGCAACCCCATCCCACAAAATACCAAGGCCAATCCCACATGGCACCTCAACTTCCCAACCCACCTTAACCAGTCTCTTTAAATGTTTCCAAGAGACTAGACAGCCTAGAGAAGATGATGGCAGAAAACCAAAATGTATAGCCCCCAGCTCAGCCTAGCTCAACCTCTATCCCTACTCCTCTTAACATCAACATCATTCAAGAACCATATCCATTCGAATTCAAAATGCCCCAATTTGAGATGTACGATAGGACCAAGGATCCCAACAATCACTTGCATGTGTTTTACTCTGTTATGTAGGCTCAAAATGATTTAGATGCTCTTATGTGCAAAATATTCCTCTCTACATTACATGGCAATGCTCGAACTTGGTACTATAGCTTACAGCTGAACTCAATCAATTTAAATGTTGAGCTAGCGACATCCTTTGCCACTAAGTTTTCAAGTCAAAGGTTAATCAAGAAAATAACATTCGAACTCATAAGGGTAACCCAAAGGGAAAGTAAGTCTTTGAAGAATTACATGAACAGATTCAAGGATGCTGTGTTAGAGATTGGCTTATTCAATTAGGTTGTGGGAATAGCTACCATAATTCAAGGTCTCAAACATGAGAGGCTCCAAGACAACTTAATAAAATATCCACCCGCCACATTTGATTAGGCCAACGAGAGATCTCACAAGTTTATCATAGCTAAAGAGTATGCTTTATCTGGCAAACCCCTACCTTGTAAGGAAATCAAAGGTCAAACCTAAAAGGAAGAAAGGCAAAACAAAAAGAGATTCAAAGCAACACAAAACCGAGGTCCACTTCCTACTCCCAAAGTTGACAAGTCAAACCCAAATACCTCACAAGCCATAGCCAACCAGATCACTTAGACTCCATTCACATTGGTGAGGTCACAGATTCTAAGGTAGATTAAGAATAAGATGGAGCTTAAAAGGCTCCCACCTATGCTAAGCTTGCCTGCTTCCAAATATCATAATAGGTATTGTGACTTCCACCAAAACTATGGGCACACCATAAAAGAATGCAACAGTTTGAAATCCGAGCTTGAAGTCTTAGCTCGTAAAGGAATGTTGAATGATTACATCTCGAATAGAGATTAGCTCAAGTTTGTGCAAGAACAAGGGCAATAGCCTCAACGACATCGAGATGCAAACAATAAAATCTAAGTGGGCTACTAACAAACCCCACCTCCACTTCCTCCACCTTCACGCATCATTCACATAATAAGCAGTGGGCTTGAAGTAGGAAGAATGAGCTCCAAGCAATAGGAGCTATATGTGAGAGAGGTGAAGCACCAAAATCGAGCTGAAAAGAAGAAGTTCGACGAAGCAGATTGGAAGAGCCAACCTATAACTTTCACCTCGGTTGATCTGGATGGTGTTGTCACACCACATAATGACTTATTGGTCACTTCTATCATTGTCAACAACTGTGAAGTTCAACATGTCCTTATCGACACAAGAAGCGCTCCTCACATCATGTATTATCACTACTTTGAGAGCTTGGGCCTTGATCCTACCTTCCTATAGAAGTATGATGGCCCCATTTATAGGTTTAATAATCACCTAGTCTCTGTGGAAGGAGTCCTAAAGCTCATTGTGGCCTTTGGTTCAAGTCGGACATATGTAACTCCTTTAGTTTGGTTTTTTGGTTGTGAAGATGGCTTTGTCCTTCAACATCGTTATTGGGATGCCTACTTTGACCAAGATCAAAGTTATTGTCTCATAGTCCCACCTATGCATGAAGCTCCCTACACCTATAGGAGTGGCGACTCTTAAAGACAATCAAGAAATAGCAAGGCATTGCTACATGACCTCTGTTGCTCGACCCTGAAAAGATAACGCAACAATTTAGTAATAAGAGCTAGCCCAACTAGAAGTCCCAAGTACTCAACAGGTAATGGGTGTAGAATTGTCGAATAACAGACCCAATGATGAGGTTAGAGCTACCCCGGTTGAAAAAGTGGAGGAAGTGCAGATTGATGATAGTGACCCTAATAAAAAGACATAGATTAGAACAAAATTGAGCTCGAAGGGGAAGGAAGAGCTCATATGTTTCTTGAAGGTGAACAAGGATGTATTTGATTGGAACTTGGCGAACATGCCTGGAATTCCAACTCAGTTGCAATGCACAAGCTAAACACCAACCCCTTGAAGAAGCCCGTAACTTAGAAAAGACGCATATTCAAAAAGGAGAGCTACAAGCCATTAAGGAAGAGGTGCACAAACTTTTACAAACGAGGTTCGTGAGAAGGGTAGATTATTGTGAATGGGTTGCTAATTCTATTCTGGTGAAGAAGTCAAATGGAAAATGGTGGATGTGCATTGCCTATACCAATCTCAATGATACTTGCCCCAAGGATTACTATCCCATGCCGAGTATAGACAAGCTAGTAGAAGCTGCCTCAGGGAATGAAAGGCTAAGTCTCTTAGATGCTTACTCGGGGTACCATCAAGTTCACATGGCACCCGAGGACGAGGTGAAGACTTCCTTTTATGTTGGGGATGAAATCTACTATTATGTGATGATACTGTTTGGGCTTAAGAATGCAGGAGTTACATACTAGAAAATGGTAACAATTGTATTCCAAGCTCAGATTGGTAGGAATCTTGAAGTTTACGTAGATGACACAGTAGTTAAAAGCCTAAACGTAGAAGACCATCTAACTGACCTTGTAGAGACATTTGACAATCTGAGGAAGCACAACATGCGGTTGAACCCCACAAAGTGTGTTTTTGGTGTGGAATCCAACAAATTTTTGGGATTCATGGTTTCTATAAGGGGGATATAAGTCAATCCTAAGAAGATAAAGGCAATAGAAGAGATAAGATCACCGAAGTTAGTTAAGGATGTGCAGCGCCTAACAAGATGGGTAATAGCTCTGCATAGGTTCATCTCTAAGCCAGTAGACAAATGCTTGCCTTTCTTCAAAATCTTGAGGTCTACAGCCCACAAAGGTGAAGCGAGGAAGCCCAAGAAGTTTGAATGGACTTTTGAGTGTCAAGTGGCCTTCAACGAGCTCAAGACATACCTAAGTTCACCACCTCTACTAACCAAAGCTGAAGAAGGAGAGATTCTTTACCTCTCCCTTGGGATATTTGACACAACAATAAGCTCCATTTTGGTTAGAGAAGTGGGAAAGCAACAAAAGCCAGTATATTATGGCAAAGTGTTACAAGGGGCAGAGCAAAGATAGTCCATAGTAGAAAAGGCAACTCTATCAGTTGTCACCACGACCAGGAAACTAAGACCATACTTCCAATCCCACCCTATTGTTGTGTTGACTAACCAACTTTTAAGGCATATTTTACAGAAGCCGGAGTGTTCAGGTAGGCTCATCAAGTGGGCAGTGGAACTAGGGGAGTTCTAAATCACCTTCCAACAGAGGTCAACAATCCGAAATCAAGCCCTAACAGACTTTTGTAATGGAGTGCACTTTTAATCAGGGGAATTCAGGCGATGAAGTAGAGCTATGGACTCTTTATGTTGATGGGTCATCCAACAATAAGGGATTAGGTGCTGGAGCAGAGTTGATCGGACCTAAGAATTCTTGAAGTGAGCACACACCGAAGTTCAATTTCAAGGCAACAAATAACATGGCCGAGTATGAGGCACTACTCCTTGGACTCCGTTTAGCAACTGAACTCAAGGTTAGATCTCTGCAAGTATACAATGATTCCCAGCTTATGGTCAACCAGGTGAATTCTACATGTGAGGTCACAGATCCTACCTTTGTAAAGTACATAGTTGTAGTTTTTGAATTAAGGTGTCATTTTGAGAGATTCCAGCTCACTAAGGTCTCAAGAGTAGAGAATGAACATGCAGATTCCTTGTCAAAGTTAGCCTCTGACAGCTCTGGTGGAGTGAGATATGTTTATGTCGAAATCCTCAATGAGCCGAGCTTCCAAATGTCGAAGGTGATGGAGATCAGTTCTGATCCTAAAACTCCCAACTAGACAAACCCCATCAAAGCTTACCTTTGAAATGGAACTGTCCCAAATAGTAAACAAGAAGAGATGAAGTTGCGAAGAAAGGCATCTCAATACACCTTAATTGATGACATTTTATATAAGAGCTCATACTCGTTCTCTCTTCTTCAATGTTTGACACCATATGAAGTCGAGTACGCCCTAAGAGAAGTGCATAAGGGTATGTGTGGAAGTCATGTAGGAGCTCAAACTTTGGCCCATAAGATACTTCAACACATGTACTATTGGCCCAATATGTAGTCGGACATGAAGTTGTTTGTGTAGAGGTGCCAAAAGTGCCAATTCTTTGCACACCTCACACATCAGCCAACAAAGGAGCTCACTAACTTGGTTGCGCCATGGCCCTTCGCCCAATGGGGCATAGATCCTTTAGGCCCTTTTGTTAAAGGTGTGGAAGGAATGACACACTTGGTCATTGCAGTCGACTACTTCACGGAATGGGTGGAAGCTCGGCCTCTCTCCAACTTGACCTCAAAGAAGATTAAAGATTTTGTTTTCAGCTTTGTCATTTGTAGATATGGGATTTCGAACAAGATCATCGCTAACAATGGTCCACCTGTTCAACTACACCTCTTTTAGAGACTTCTACTCTAGTTATGGGATTAAGCTGGTGTTCACCTCAGTTTATCATCCCGAGGCTAACGGAATGGTTGAATCAGTCAATAAAGCCATCTTGGAAGGAATAAAACCGAGGTTGGATCAACTCAAAGCCAAATGGGTAGATGAGCTCAACAATGTCTTCTGGGCCTATAGAACTACAAACCGAATAGCTATAGGTACACACCTATTCTAACCCTTATATTTATTGCCTTTATCTGAAGTCGTGTAACAAAAAGCACGAAGTCAGAGCTAAAATTCCAATTCTTCTAATTAGGGGAAATGCCCTACCATTTGGCTTTTGGGACCAAGGCAATCATTCCTCTTGAGATTGGTGTCCCAAGCTTGAGAGTTAGCCATTTCAAGCAATGCAAAATGAGCAGTTGCTCAGGGAAAACCTTGATTTCTTAGATGAAGTCCGCGAGCAAGCTCGACTTTGAACTTTAGCATATAAGCAGAGGGTAGCCAACTTTTACAATAAATGAGTTTGGCCCCGAAGTTTCAGGATTGGTGACCTCATCGTCAGAAAGGCAAGGCTCATTGGCTTTGAAACCCATTATGGCAAGCTAGCACCAAATTGGGAAGGTCCATATGTAATAGTTGAAGTACCTCACCTCGATGCTTATATACTTCAAGACGCCAAGGATAAAAGAGTTCCTAGAGTATGGAATGTAAATAATTTGAAGAAGTTTTATTCTTAATGAAACTTGGTCTCATTCAATTTTTTACCAAGTTGTATACTATTTCAACTCCCTAAGTCAAGGTTAGAAATCCATTCTTGCTTTGGATCCAATATGGATAATCACTTACCTTGCCTCAGCCTATTCTTTTTAACTTTAGAAATTGAGGTTAAATACTTCAGTTCTAATTTTACTTCAGTTTTCAAGTTATAATTTTGAAGTCAGAACTCACATTTAAATGTAAAAAACATACAAAAATAAGATTTCTCAAATTGATATTGTTTCAATTCCAAATGAAGTACAAATCTCTTTAAATTCACAAATACAAAAATTAAACATGAGCTAGCCAAGATCAGTCGATGACTTGATGTTGCTTGTCCACTTCTTGCTTAGCAATGTTGTCTCCGACCTCAGTCCCACCAGCCACCCCGGCTTCATCCTTGTCAATAGCAACAAACTCATACTCCACACTAGGTGGGAGGACAATTTGTCCAGCTTCGTCCTGTTTCATCCCGTTCCCACTTCAGTTTTACCTCAAGCTGAAACTCGACTGTCTTACTTTCCTCGTCTTCTTCCACACCAACCTCCTAATCCAAACATGATCTTAGTCATGTTTACCTCAGGATTTTAGGCCTTCACCTTCTTTCTACAATCAGTGAAGGCCATGACCAGTGTAGGCAACCACTAGAGATCCACAATCTCGAAGTAAGTCGCTGACTTGACAAAGTCTAAGACATGCTATTCGACTGAGTTTTGGACCGCCAACTCCACTTCCCTCTGCACTTTGGCTAGCTCATTTTCCACCTTGGCTAGATTTTCTTCACATTTTTTCCTTTTCTTCTCTTCTAGCTCGGTAACCTTCTTACCAGTAGCCAACTCCTCCTTAACTTTCTCAAGCTCGAAAGTTAGGTCATTGAAGTTTTGCTTAGCTAACTCCTTCTGCTAACTGAGCTTGTCATTTTTGTCAGCCAAGTCATTCCTTTCCTTGAGGCAGTTGTAGTATTCAACCGCTAAGGCATTTACAAGATTTGCCGTCTGCAAGAAGAGCCGAGATCAAAATAATAATAATAATAAACAAAAAGTTTTCAGCTCTTATCTTAAGGGCATGACGGATGACACCAAAGCCTTTGTGCTCATCCACCTCGTTCCTCGCTCTCTTCAAATCCACATCAAGAAAGGTGACATTGATGAAACGTTTTGCAACAGTCTTGCTCACATTCTCAAAAAAGCTAAACTTCTGCTTCGGAATAGGAGAGCTTTTCCTCTTCTCATGTGTCACCACCACCATCTCTTGCAAAATCAGGTCAATTTGAACTGGCGAAGGTCGAGGCACGAACTCGATTAGGGCCTCAGTTTATGGCTGCTGCACCTCCTTCACCTTTCTCCTCTTTTAGGCTGCAGCCTCCTCTTTAACCCTCTTTCTCCTCTACTCCAAGTTAGGCCCCGTTTCAGCTCAGGCTCCTCCACTTGGGTAAGGTCTTAAAGTCCCACCCACTACCCTTTCCTCCACAACACTTGGAGCAGGAGTCTTTGACCTCTTCTCTAGGAAAGTGATAGTTTTACCTCTAGCCAGAAGCAAATTTATCTCTTATGCAAAATAAAACGGAGTTAAAATTTGAAATCAAACTTATAACCCTAAGTAAATCTGGTTTGAATAAACAAACCTCCACCCAGTGAGCTCAACCCCTAAATCTCAGCTGCCTCTAACATTTCAGGGCTGGTGAGATGCATGATGTCCATCACCTCCCCACCCCTCCTCCTCTCTAACCTCTCCACCTCCTTTTACTTCCCCACACCTAATGTATACTTGTTTGGGTTAGCCTTTTTGCCCTTCCACCTACAAAGCCCTATCACCTCTGCATATGACCTCCCCCACTCCGTCTCATCCACAAAAAGAAACTTGTCGTTTCATCCCTTAATGCAAGACGAACCCACACTGAATAAGTTCCTACTTCCACCTCCAACTTGCCGGGTGTGAAGTAAAACCACCCCTTCTCCTTATTGCTCCCTCTCTTTATTAAAAGAAAGTACTTGAACAAATTGATTGTTGGGACAAGCACACCTCATGTTCGATAATATACTAAGAACCCTATGATCAGTGGCGATGCGTTGGGGATGTGCTGCATTATCCCCAACCCATACGCCTTCAACAAAGCCATTAACAGCTCAAGTGCTGTGAACCTAAGCTCAGCTGATAGATAATGGCCATATATGGGCATCCAATGGTCCCTTGGCGCTGAGCACACCCTTTCCATCTCACCAATCGGTCTAAGTAACACATGCCCCGGATGGCGTACTGCTCCACTAGATGTGTGAGGTCGCTCTTGCTCTTCCAAAATGCCTCATATCCTACCACCTCTGAAACCACCTCATCCTCTTCATTATAACACTTAGCCCTACTATTGTCAACATCCAAAATATTAGAGAGCACTCCCACCTCTGCCTCCCTTTCACTTTCCTCACCTTGCCCACTTCTTTCAGTTCCCCCACTGTTGGAAGTTTCTACTTCGCTATTGCTCTTGCTTGAGCTCAACTCTTGCACATCTTCTTCACTTCCAATACTCAGTGTTCCCTCTGAAGACATCTCTATTTTGTAACTCTCACTACAAGGAGTAAGAGGTGGAGAATAGTTAGGATCCTGAGTTAGCTATCTCTCACGTTCTACTTCACTCTCAGACCTATTCTTAATTTCCATGATTAGACTTAGTCCTAGGTATAAACAAGTTATAATTAAATCGGAGACCTCACTTAAACCAGAAGATGAGCTCATGAAGTTACCTGAATTTGTGACGATTGAACTAAAATACTTCAAGATTTTTGATTGACTCTCTATTGACTGAGAACTTGAACTTGGCAACTGGTAGCTCGTACGATGAAGTTCTCTAATGTGATTTCAGCAACGCTTCACTATAGATTCAGTAAGATAAATTCTAAGAATAACTCAAGTGTGGCTATTTATACTGAGGCCTCATTTCCCCCAACAGTCACGATCGTTCACATCTAACGGCCACCATCACGTCCTTTTCAAATTCAACAGTTATTCTTGACTGTGCCCATTTATTATAGCACGTCACACGAGGATAGCTGTCAGCTCGTGAATTAATTCATTTTCAGTTATATTTCAAACATTTGTTCAGATTCAATGTAACTACTTTAACCTCCATTTAAATATCTTTACACTCATTCATGATATTTTCACTTCAGCTCCAGCCACATATTGCATGACCAAGTGTCATGGTATTTTCACTTTGGCTTCAGCCACACACTGCATGACCACGTGTCATGGTATTTTCACTTCAACTCTGGCCACACACTACATGACCACGTCTCATGGTATTTTCAGTTCAGCTCTAACCACACTTTGCATGACTACATGTCATGGTATTTTCACTTCAACTCCAGCCACACATTACATGACCACATGTCATGATATTTTCACTTTGGCTCTGACCACATATTACATGACCATGGCATGATATCTTCACTTCGACCATGGCCATGCATCACACAACCCTTATATCGTTCACAAGTGAATGACTTCGGAGGGGGAGTATTGTAGTGACAGCAGTCCAAGGTCACACACCTCGGATGGGCTAAGCTATTCTTAACACCCTATAGTTGCTTTGGCGTTACTTGATCCTTGATGAGCTCAGTTGAGTTTGAGCTCATCCCGTCTACTTTTACTTTACAATAACTCCGTACATGCACAAATCTCTCGGGAGAGTTTCTTGTAATCATTGGCACATATGATCCCGATTGTCAATGAAGAACAACACATGGACACCCTCTTGAAGGCTATAAATACCCCCCCTAAATGGTAATTGAAATCAACCTCAAGTTTAGCTCTTGCTTTTATCTTACCTAGTCTGATTATTGCTCATTTAGCCATTGGAGTGTCTACCCCAAGGAACAACCTCAAGGCTTTGCAGGTTAGTTGAAGTGAGGATCCGAGCTAAAAAGGATCTTGGGCACAATAACTGTTGACGACCACTTTAGATTTTTTTCAAAATAAATGAAAAATTTCAGTGCGAGAAAATATCAAAAGGAAAGGGGAGTCGCCACTCGTCCAAATTATAAGGTGGGACAAGTCACCTAAAACGGGTCTGCGCAGAGATCGGGGTTCGGGGGTTCGGTTAAGAGTAAGGAAGGGCATACGCGCACCTCACAATCCTCCGTTTAAACACGGTTGCATACTTTAAAATTGAGGTTTTGATTCAACTTATTTATTATCTTTATGTTTAAGTCTTAATAGGGAAACTTAAAAAGGATAAACTAAATTGAAATATTTTTTAATTTTTGGACTAAAATGGACAAAATAAAAGATATGTATGCACAATAAGCACAAATAAGAATTAAATGGACTGATTTGATTAAAATAAAAATAAAGGACTGATTTGAAAAGGTTTAAAACTTTTAGACTAAACTGCTTAAACGTGAAAGTTGAAATAAAATAGATAACTTTTAAATTTTTTTTTTTTTACTTTTAAACCTTTTTAGTTTTTTTTTTATGATAGACGAAACTAGATCGGGTTGGGTTAACTTGACCCAAAAACACGAAACAATTCACCAACGTAAAAACAGATAAAAAGAAGATCAAACATGCAACCAAAGCGGGAAAACTAAGATTAATGTCATTTCCAGTAACAGCAAACACATTCATCAGAAAATAAACTGAACAATTTTCTTTTTTGATTTTTCATTCATTTTTCCAACGAAACACATACAAACTTAAGACAGTTCTAAACAAAATCAACAGACATAACAGAAACACCCACGGCGGAATTTTTAGGAGGAGGTAGATCCAGATCGGAAGGGAGGGATCCCACCCACGGGACCAGGCTCCGTTCGTCTCCTTCACTATCCTTCCCAAAAATCCCTCTGTTCAGGAGATTACCTAAAGCAAGCAAGAAACAGATACAGAAAAATGAGCCTCTTTACGATCACCGTCGACCTCCAAAAAATGTTCTCCTTCGTCAACACCACACCACCTTCAAAAACAAGCCAAAACAAAACAAAAAAACCCCCCTCCTTCTTTCTAACCAAAACCCTCTATTTATACCCATCAAGGACCGAGCTTCATCTTGCTGAAAAACGAAAAAAAAAGGTGCCAAGGAGAATCGGACAACCAGAGCAGGTACAAGATCGGGTTGCAAGATTGCGTTTCAGCCGGGGATTGCACGATTGGGGCATAGGTGATGAGTGCAAATCAGCTCGGGTAGAGGAGGGGTGATGAGTGCAGACCTGGGCTTGGGCAGAGGAGGTTGTAGGCGCGCAGGAAGTAGGGCGTGTAGGCGTGCAGGAGGCATGATTGCCGGTGCGCAGAGTGCAAGGCACGGGCGTGCAGGGGGCGCAGGCGTGCAGCAGCAGGAAGGTGCAGGCGATCTGGGCGCAGAGCAGGGAGCAGGGGCGTAGGTGCAAGGCTCGGGCGTAGGTGCAGGGCTAGTGCAGCTAGGCTGGGCGTGCGAGGGGGC